TCGTCGTCAACACAAACCGCCGTCTCACCAGAGGGCTCAATCCACACACCCACGTGCTGACTCACAAGAGGCCTCACGCCCACCAAGTTCCTCGAGAACGAGGGGACGTGGAAGCCAGTCAGAGACCCAGAGGGAACAGGAGGGCACGGAAGAGTAGTAGTGTAGCGAGCAGTGACTGGTCCCGAGGTGGGATCAACTAGCGCCACAGAGACTGGCGCAGGAAGTGGAGTAAGTGTCGTGTGGTCGCAGAAGAAGCAGTGCGAAGCCCCAGAGTCCAAAGTGAAAGACAACGAAGCGTCCTCCGAAGTAGCGCCTGGACTGGTGTCTACACAAGTGCCTACACTAGCAACAGGCAACTCAGCAAGACTAGCACCTAAGCTAACAACACTCGAGTAAACAGAGTCAGAAGCACTAGAGTCAACAATAGCATGCATAGCATGAGGAGTTTCTAATATCTCAAGCAACTGAGAAAAAGACATGCCCCAAAGAGCAGAGTCGTACGTCTAAACAAGAGGAAACCAGTCAGGGGCAGGGCCGCCAACGCCGAAGGCCAAGCGAACCGTGTCTGTGAGCTGAGCAAAACACTGACCAGGAGGGTGGGTGTGGCCACAAGGCTGGCCTCGGCGAGCACCTGTCAGAACCTGATAGGTGCACGAAGGGTGAACAACACCTCGCTGGGGCTGACACTGTACGGGCCCCGAAACCTGCTGCTGCTGCTGCGAGGGCTGCTGCAAGGGGAGGGGCTGCTGCAAGGGGAGGGGCTGCTGCTGCTGCACCTGCTGCTGCCGCTGGGCCAGGTACCACGCCGCTGCTCCACCCACCGCGGCCAGCAGACCAAGAGGAGGCTGACAAGGCCGGGTGTCACCTCCACCAGCTGCAGTAGGGGAGTCACTGGCCGCTGCACGAGACGCCTCTCCAGGCCCTGCGCTCCCATCGCCACCGGTCGGCACGCCACCCCCACCACCTTCGCCGCCAACGCCGCCACCGCCGCCGCCGCCTGCACCCTGACCGCCCCTCCTGCCACCCCTACCTCGAGACCTCGACGAAGTCGTAACAGCAGTTGCGGTCACGTCAGTAGTGGCAGTGGCTAGTGAGGCAGTGAAAGTGGGCAGCTGAGGGACGGTGCACCCGTGAAACAGTGGAGGGGGCACGGCACCAGAGGCGGAGGCTACGGAGCGGAGGTTGCTCTCGACGTCCTTGAGCGCAGACTCAAGGAACTCGATAGTGAGCTTACTAGGGTGCTTCAGAAGAAGCGTGTCACGAACAGAGGCAAGGCAATCAGGGAGGCTAGTGGCAATGAAGTAGATAGTCATCGCCATGGGAGGGGGAAGCAGTGCAAGCTGTGCATCAGTGCAAGCAGCGCGGTAGCTAGAATCAAGCGTGCGGAGGTGAGCAATCAAGTTAGCAGAGCGCTCAAACGAGGCGAGGTCAGGGAACAAGAACGGTAGGAAGAGGCGGCCAAGAGAGACAGTGGTGGGAGTAGCGTAGTGGGCCTTGATCGCAATCTGGAACTCACTAGCAGTGCGAACCTGAGTGAAGTGGGCCTCCTCAGACTCAGGGAGGAGGCTGCTAAGAGCGATGCAGGCCGCAGCGTCATGCGACTTCCACGCCGTCAGGTCAGCACGCTGGTGGGTAAAGCGGTTTCTGGCAGCAGCGTCAGGGGCAGGGCCTAAAGGCGTACGGTCGTCGGGTGCAGGAAGGTCACCAGTAGCGTGCGCCCAAAGCGACTCACCCGCCTGTACCTGACTCTCTAAGAGGCGACGCGCACGTAAGAGCCAGACTGAAAACTCGAGCGGTCTACCGTCAGCGTCGAAGCGAAGAACCCTAGGGGTCGCCATAGTGTAAGTAGAGGCAGCACGGGTGGTGGGTGGCACTGGTAGGGACGGTATGCGGCTAGGGCAAGTCCGTGACGGGCGCAAAACGCGGGCGCAACGGGGCTAGGAGTGGTCCTGTGGCTGACTGAACGAGTAGGCGCAGCGGTGCGAAGGAGGGCCTACGGTGGCTGTAAGGGAGGGCCCGCGGCGGGCCTTAACTAGCAGGCGCGGCGGCTGGAAGGCAGGGCCCGCGGTGGCTGTAAGGGAGGGCCCACGGCGGGCCTAACTAGCAGGCGCGGCGACTGTAAGGGAGGGCCCGCGGCGGGCCTAACTAGCAGGCGCGGCGACGGGACGAGCGGGCCCACGGCCGGGCCTAACGAGCAGGCGCGGTGGCGGGCGTTACGGGCAGGCGCGGCGGCGGGCGGTACGGGCAGGCGCGGCGACAAAATGCGGGCCGCCGCGGCGACGAAATGCTAGGCGCCGCGGCGACAAAACGCGGGGCGCTGCGGCGACGAAATACGGGGCGCCGCGGCGACGACGAGCGGGCGTTTAGGGCAGCGGGGGGAGGACGCGACGCGACGGGCAGGGTGGGAGGGCACTTCACGACGAGCAGCGGGGGAGGGCGTGATGGGACGGGACGCCAGGGAGAGCGCGACGTGATGGACAGGGGGGGGAAGGCGCTATGCTACGCGGAAAGCGGGTCGGCGGAGTGAGCGCTAACAAACGAGCGAGACTGGATCGGGCCGGCCCTAACGAACGAGCGAGACTGGATCGGGCCGGCGCTAACGAACAAGCGAGATTGGATCGGGCCGGCGCTAGGCTTGGGCAAGACGGGTACGACTAGTACGAGAGAGCGAGACAGGCTCTGGCGGAACGAACGAGGACGAGAGATGCGGGATCCCACAGGATCCTAACCTAGGTGATACCATGTCAAGAATAAAAGTGTTGGTTCATTGATGTGGGTTGGGGTACATACAACAAACCCTAACATCTGTACCCCCTAAGACAAACCTCACAACAGGCTACAGCATTTGACAGTCTCGTACCCCTCAACGTGTTCCTCCTTCGTAAGCACTCGCCCCTTTGCAGTTGCATTCGCCGTTGATCCCTTCACCATGATCTCCCTTTTCACAGCTTCAACTCCCACACACTTCGCATTTACGGCAACAGCAGTAGCAAGCAAGCAGTGACGGCAGCAGCAGTAGCAAGCAAGCAGCGATGGCAGTAGCAGCAGCAAGCAAGCAGTGACGGCAGCAGCAGTAGCAAGCAAGCAGTGATGGCAGCAGCAGTAGCAAGCAAGTAGTGACGGCAGCAGCAGTAGCAAGCAAGCAGTGACGGCAGCAGCAGTGCCAAGCACTGACGGTCCGAACAGAAGCAACCAGCAGTAAACAGCCCGAACAGAGCAATGGCAGCAAACAGCCCAAAGCAACAGCAGCAAACATCCCGAGCAGAAGCAACAGTAGGAGAAGGGTGTGTTTTGGCACGACCAAAACTGCAGCATAGGGAGAGAGGGGAAAGGGATGGAAAGCGGTGGGTGAGTGGGCCCCATGGGAGGGAGCAAGGGAAGTGAGGCGTGGGTAGGGGTTGTGAGCCCAGGAGCAAGGGAAGGTAAAGGCTGAAACATACTGGGTGGTGCTTTTCAGCCATGCCACGCCATGGTCGCTCGCCAGTTCAGCAGCAGTCTTGGTTGACGCTGCATCCACGCAGTCACCCAGAGCTAGGTGCTTTCTGCCGTGCCGTCGTGTCGAATCTCACAGCGGTTGTCATCATGCCCTCGCACCCGGCTGTCCAACCCGAACCTGGCAAGGGCGGGGAGGGCGAGAGAGAGGCAGAATAGCTGAGGCAGAAAAGGTGAGGGGAAGGGCAAGAGGATGTTACGGAGGTGGTGCTAGCTGCCATGCCATGATGATGCCATGGACCAGCCAGTCCAGCACCCATCTCGCATGATGAGCCATGAGAAGCTGGTGATTTCTGCCATGCTCTCCGGTTCTAAGTCGTTTTGAACGAGCAGCGGCAGTAGCAACGCAGCAACAGCAGGCGGTAGGTGGCCGTAAAGAGCGAGAGGACGGTCGCGTTGACGAACGAGAGGCATCGCGCAGCGCGCGCGCTTCTTGGCAGCCTCGCTTACCGCCCCTGCTCCACTGAGCCCGACAAGAGCGGCACGCATGACACATGACCTAGTTCGAAACTAATGGTGGTAATTTAAATGACCCGAAAGGCGCCAGTCGGACGGAGGATTCAAACCGCGCGCTAAGCTCAGGCCGTCGCATATTGAGGCGAGTGGTCGTGAAGATTGTGTGGAACGTTGGTCGCCAACGTTGGTCCGGCGGCAATTCTAGGTGAACACGGTGTAGTACTATTAGTACGGCCACTACTTACTAATACTAGTACTAGTGGTACTACTGCTGTCACAGTGTGTGAGGAGTATGTGGCAGCGGGAGTCGGTGCTGCGGAAGAGCGAGAAAGTGGGCTTCAATGATACTATTATCTACTACTAGCTAATACGAACAACCATGTGCTACTGCTGTGAAAAAATATAGAAGCGAACGCGAGTACGAGGAGACGAGATACTGCGAGGAGGGAGCGAAAAAAAAAAAATTAGATGACTAATACTAACCGCTACGCGAATTCGGCGCTGTTGATATGTAACGCCAAGCGACTCGCAGGTTATGCGGACATTAGGATGGTGGGATGCGTATGCAGGCACTATCCTTGTGTGCTACTACCAATGGTGTGTCACATCACATCACATCACATCACATCACATCACATCACATCACATCACATCACATCAGGTCACGTCACGTCACGTCACGTCACATCACATCACATCACATCGCATCGCATCGCATCACATCACATCACATCACGTCACGTCATGTCACGTCACGTCACATCACATCACAACACATCACATCACATCACATCACATCACATCAGGTCACGTCACGTCACATCACATCACATCACGTCACATCACATCACATCACATCACATCCACTCCCCATCCTGCATCATGTTACCTTGGAAAGTTCCAAAGATCCACACCAGCATGTGTCGTCCTATCTACAGTCCACTCTCCCTCACAGCCTGCACTGTGGTCTGTGGTGTGATGTGGTATGGTGTGATTGTGGAATTGTATGTTGTGTAACACGTCATCATGTCATCTCTTACACGTCATCATCCATGCATGCTGTTGGTCGCCAGCTGGCAGTGCAGAAGGTATTGGATGTGCGCTTCCATCCGAGGGGCCACCCTCAGCTTGTCATTGGCTGCAACGAGGTGAGCGGTGACTTTTGAGGCGCCTCAAAGGTGCGCCTGACATGACAGTTGCTTGCAACAAACATGACGACTTGTTGACTTCGAAGAGTCGACTCGAAATTCAACTCGGTTCCACCCCAGGGGCAGGCCTCATCTGGTCACTGGGGCAGGCCTCATTGCTGCAATGAGGTGCGTGTGCGCCTCTCATGACAGTTGCTTGCAATAATCATCACACTTTGTCGACTTTTGAGTCGACTGGAAAGTGAACTCGCTCCATACCAGGCCAGCCTCAGCTTGTCTTGTCATTGGCTGCAATGAGGTGCGCTTTCCTCGCGTTCCCTCCCTTTCATCGCATTCTCCTTTGTGTAAGGAACAGGTGCAATATCCTCTCATTCTCCTTCCTTCTCTCCTCTTCGTCACCTTTCTTCTCTTTGCCAGCGATAACAATTGCCCTTCGAGACATAATTCTTTTGCGCTTGCGACCGTAAGCGAATACCCTCACACATACGATCACCATGATCTTCTCTAATAACCCTTTTGCCCCCTGCCCCACCATCCCACCAGGCCCCGAACGAGTTGCTCCTCTTCGACCTCTCCTCCGGCTCCCACCGCCCCCTGCAAGGCCACGCCTGTCAGGTGTGTACCTAACCCCACCAAGCGCACGCCTGTTTTGTGTGCCAGTGTTTCATCACCTTCTCCCCCCACGAACCCTCACTGGTATCCCCTATCCGCCCCACCTCATATTCCTTGGGGCGCCGTTCCAATGCATACCACCGCATCACATCACGTCACAGCACCACACAGTGCACCACAAACCACACCACAACACACCACGCCGCACCATTCCACACTATCCACCCCACCCCAACCCATCCCTCCCCACCGCATCACACCACGGCATCAGATCCAGGCGGTGGAGTGTGCCATGGATGATCACGCCATCATCTTCCCCATTGCTCTCTTGCCATGTATCGTCACTGCCATCACCATGCACCCCACCCACCCCACCCCACCCCACCCCACCGTATCACCCCACCCACCCCACCCCACTACTCCACACCACATCACACCATGTCATCAAATCCAGGCGGTGGGGTATGCCATGCATGGTGACAACATTCCATCCCCCATCCTTCCCTCCCTCATTTCCCTTCCCGTGTGCCCCATCCCCATCACATCACATCCCCACCCCTCCCCACCCCTACCCACCCCACCCCACCGAATTACACCAAGGCAGATCCAGGCGGTGGAGTACGCCATGGATGGTGACGTCATCCTCTCCTGTGGGGGCTGTACACTCAAGGTGAGAGAGGACTTGCCTTTTAATGCCATGCACTGCCATGCCATGCCCTGCCATCCTTGCCATGCCCTGCCATGCCCTTGCCATGCCCTTGCCATGCCCTTGCCATGCCCTTGCCATGCCCTGCCATGCCCTTGCCATGCCTTTGCCATGCCCTTGCCATGCCCTTGCCATGCCCTGCCATGCCTTGCCATGCACTTGCCATGCCCTTGCCATGCCCTGCCATGCCCTTGCCATGCCCTTGCCATGCCCTTGCCATGCCCTTGCCATGCCCTTGCCATGCCCTTGCCATGCCCTGCCATGCCCTTGCCATGCCCTTGCCATGCCCTGCCATGCCCTTGCCATGCCCTGCCATGCCCTTGCCATGCCCTGCCATGCCCTTGCCATGCCCTTGCCATGCCCTGCCATGCCCTTGCTATGCCCTTGCCATGCCCTTGCCATTCCCTTGCCATGCCCTTGCCATGCCCTTGCCATGCCCTTGCCATGCCCTTGCCATGGTGGCTGGCTTGACATGACAGCATACTTGAAACAGTTTAGTTTTGGTCCGTCCATACCCACGAGTGTACTCGTGGCGAGGTTTCAGGCATCCCACGCGTGCCCTGCATTCAAGCCCGGGCTTGACTTTTGAGACGTGTCAAAAGGCATTTAACTCTTTCTCTGCATTCAAGCCCAGCCATGCAGGCTACAAGCCTACCGTCAATCAACCGCATTTCCGATCCACCTGCCGTGGCAACCATTCCCTTCAGGTGTGGGACTCCACGTCAGCATTGCTGCTGCACTCGTGTGGGCCGGGAGTTGCTGCCACCGCCACCGCCACCGCCACTGCCAGTGGGAACCCGTCAATTGCGTGTCATCGCGACAAGATCCGTGCTCTTGCCGTTAACCAGAAGATGTCATGTGAGTCATGTGTGCATCTTGTCATGTGATTCATGTGTGCATCTTGTGATGTGAGTCATGTGCGCATCTTGTCATGTGAGTCATATGAGCATCTTGTCATGTGAGTCATATGTGCATCTTGTCATGTGAGTCATGTGTGCATCTGGTCATGTGAGTCATGTGTGCATCTTGTCATGTGAGTCATGTGTGCATCTTGTCATGTGAGTCATGTGTGCGTCTTGTCATGTGAGTCATGTGTGCATCTTGTCATGTGAGTCATGTGTGCATCTTGTCATGTGAGTCATGTGTCCTCTCTCTCTCTCTCTCTCTCTCTCTCTCTCTCTCTCTCTCTCTCTCTCTCTCTCTCTCTCTCTCTCTCTCTCTCTCTCCCTAACCGCCTGTAGGCGGCGGGGATGGCGGCGTGGCTCTCTTTGATTCACGCATGCACAAGGCCATCACTCGCTTCTCACTGGGAGGCAGTTTTGAGGTGAGAGGGATCAGAGGGGCGAGGGGAAGGGAGGTGAGAGGGGGTGATGGGGGGTATAGGGAGGGATGGCGGTGTGGCTTTCTTTGTTTCGCGCATGCACAAGGCTGTCTCTCGCTTCTCCCTAGGGAGCAATTGCGAGGTGAAGGGAGTAAATGCGAGAGGGGAGAAGAGATGGTGAGAGTGAGATGGCCTATATCAATGAAAGGGGGAATATTAAATCTGACGTCTCTCCTCCCTAGCGCACCCCATTAGCTGACGCCAGCACCGTTCAGCCCCTAACTACTCCATGCCACTTGCTCCACCAACTGCTGTTCCTGCTCCCTCCCGTCCTCCTTCACAGCACTGCACCCTCCTCTCGATCGTCATCCCGTATTTCTCGTCTTTGTTCACTCCCTGTCACTTCTCCCACACGCCCCATACCCCACCTCCACTCCATCCCCCCGCACACCCCTTCAGGTGACGTCAGCAGTGTTAAGCCCGTGTGATAGATCCCGCTGCTGCTCCCATTGCTGCTCCCCCTCTTTGACTCCCGCTGTCTCCCCTCCTCTCCTCTCATTTGCATTCCTCTCTTGTCTTTCCTCTGCTCACCTCTTCAGGTGACGTCAGCAGCGTTCAGCCCCTGTGGTCGGTTTTTCCACGCTGCCTGCTCGGCCAACTGCTGCTTCCTCTTCGACTCCCGCTGCCTCCCCTCCTCCTCCTCCTCCGCTGCTGCTCCCCCCTCCTCCTCGTCCGCTCCCCCTTCCTCTTCCTCCTGCCCCTCCCCCTCTCTGCGCGCTCTCTTCTGCCTCTCCCACGGCCCACCCATGCCGTCAGTGCAGCACTCCGTGCAGCATGCGGGGTGAGTGAGTGTCGTGCGGTGCAGTGCGGTGTGTTTGGGTGATGGCGCATGGTACTGACCCCACTTCCACAGCCCTATCGTGCCATCGGTGCAGCACTCAGTGCAACATGCGGGTTGAGAAAGGGAAAAGAAGAGGGGGGGGCGGGGTGGGGGGGAGGAAAGGGTTTGGTGCATGGGGTTTGAGGTGGGGTGAGTGCGTGGCACTGAATCCTCTCCCACGGCCCGCCAATGCCATCAGTGCAGCACTCCGTGCAGCATGCGGGGTGAGAGGCGGGCTGTTGGTGGGTGGGTACATTGAGTAAAAGAGTTGTGTGTGCCACTGAACCCTTTTGTTCCCGCCTGTGCTGTGAGTGCAGCATGCACACGGTGAGATGGGGATGGTGAGAGGTGGCGGTTGGGGGTTGGGGGATGTATGCGTGGGGCGTGTGTGGTGTGGTGTGGTGTGGTGTGGTGTGGTGTGGTGTGGTGTGGTGCCAAGCCAGCCCCACTTGTTCCCGCTTGTGCGCACTTGTGGTTTGGTTGGAGCATGCGGAGAGTGGGGTGAGAGGAGGGAGGGGAGGGGGGGTGAGTGCATCGTGTGGTGTGCGTTGTGTGTTGTGTGGTGCATGGCGCATGGTGCATGGTGTATGGAGCACAGTTCATGGTGCATGGTGTATGGTGTATGGTGCATGGTGCATGGTGCATGACGCATGGTGTATGGTGTATGGTGCATGGTGCATGGCGCATGGTGTATGGTGCATGTTACATGGTCTGGTACCTAACCCTCTTGATTGCCTTATCTCCTCCCGCCATCTACCACACACACTCTTCACCTCCCAGTGTTGTGGATTGTGGGGAAGTGGGATGAACGACACCGAATGTGTCTTTGTCTCGCGCCTCTTTCCACTCCCTTTCCTCTCCCAACCCTACTTTACACACACTCCTCCCCCCACCCAGCTTTGTGGATTATGGGGACGAAGGGGTCAATGATGCCAGGTGGCTCTCTGCTTCGCCTGGCCTCGTGACTGCCAGTGGCAATGGCAGGTGGGATTGCTCTGCCATGCTGGCGTGCTCTGCCACGCTGGCATGGTAGCGTGTGAGAGGCAGTGACAATGGCAGGTGGGAATGTCTTGCTGTGCCATCCTGCCATGCCCTGCCATGCTGTCACCCTTCCAAATCCCCGTGAGCATCTTTTAGAGAGGGTCCATTTCCCCCTTCCCCTTCCCCTTCCCCTTCCCCTTCCCCTTCCCCTTCCCCTTCCCCCTCCCCTCCCCCTCCCCATTCCCCTTCCCCTGCCCCACCCATCGCTGCCATACTCTACTAAGCTGTCAGCGTAACAATACCTCCTTCCTCACCCTCCCCCCTGTCTCCTCCTGTGCAGCGTGGCTGTATGGGACTTAGAGAGGTGACTTTTGAGTCAACCCAAAAGTCACCATCTTCCCCACCCTTCTCCCTGCCCCCTCCTATGGCAGGGACCTCACTCTAGCCGATCCCCTCACTGCCTTCTCTTTCAACTGGCTCAATGATCAATCATGTATTCTGCTTACCCTGCAGCCCTTCCCTTGTTCATCCGCCGTCCCTTCAATCCCCCCTTCCCCACAGCAGTGTGGCAGTGCGGTACTCTGCCCGACCCACTCACTGCCCTCTCCTTGAACCTTCCTCGGTCATCTGTTCTTCTTACTTTGCGTTGCTTCTCTCGATTCTCCTGCCCCGTTGCCTCACCCCTTCCCCATGCCAGTGTGGCTGTGTGGGACGTCTCTTTGGCCGATCCCCTCACTGCCTTCTCCTTCGCACACACTCGATCTATCAACACTGTAAAGCAGTCCACATGCCGTATGATCGTACCGTAACTTTGTGTATTTCCTGTATTCGGTGAGGATTGCCCTGTGCATCCTTTTCAATTACACTTATCCTACACTGGTTCAGCCTAGAACTTATACGTTGCCCCTCTCTCTCCCTCCATGGGCATATTTTGCAGTGGCTGACAAGGCTGTTGCTTTGGCGTCCCCCTCCCTGCATGGCAGGTGGCGGGGCCACCCGGTGACGCCTGCATTGCCTTTTGAGGCGTCTCAAAAGCCTTTTCTCTGCTCCTCCTCCCCCTCCCTCCATGACCAGGTGGCAGTGGCACCCGATGATGCCTGCATTGCCACCGAAGGGGATGATCAGAAAGTGGTGAGCGCATTTCTCTCCCCTCTCCTCCTAGGTAGGTGCACTAATACATGCTCGCATGCAAAAGCTTCATGCATGCATGTAGCCCACATGCGCACGTCCATGCATGCACGCACTCATTCTTGCACGCATGTACGCAATCCAAGTGCTAGCAATTCCGTGAACCCGCACACACACACTCGCACACACACACTCACACACACACACTCGCACACACACACACACTCGCACACACACACTCGCACACACACACTCGCACATACACACTCTCGCACACACACACTCGCACACACACACTCGCACACACACACTCGCACACACACACTCGCACACACACACTCGCACACACACACTCGCACACACACATTCGCCTACACACACTCACCTACACACACTCGCACACACACATTCGCACACACACACTCACACACACACATTCGCACACACACATTTGCACTCACACATACACCACATGCACTCAACCCTCATATGTGTACGAGCAGCACTAACGCACTTGCACATACATGCACACACATGCACACAAAGATGAACACACCCTGTCAAATGTTCTTATCCAACTTTCTCATTACCATTTTGTGTTGCCATATGCTCTATCTCCCCTTCCCTGCTTCCATCCTCAAATCCTTTACCTCTCTCCCAGAATCGCTTGTAACTGTTTTATAAGTAAGGGACGAATGGAAAATAAGCTCTCCGCATCGTTTTCTCCATTTGCTGCTTCCCCCCTCAAGTCCTCTACCACCCCCCCTCACTTTCCCTCGCCTCCCTTTCTCATGCCCATAAGGTGTTACCATCTGTACCTCTCTCCATTCAACCCTTCCCCCTTCAGGTCCTCCATCTCTCTCCTTTGACCGCCTCTTCAACCTCGACTCACTGGAAGCTCACACATCCCCTTGCCTTGTAGCCTTGCTGCAGCATGTTGCAAATGGTTTGAGGCACCAATAAATACTGTCATCGCTCGGATAGTAGACATATATGTCTTACCTCGTACACTGCTCAAAATTCTTGAGTTATCTTGTATTTGGGATGGTTTAGGGTGTCTTATAAGTCTTATAAGTGGAAAAAAATAGAAGTACTCTGCATCATTTGCAAAGTGTGTAGAAACCACCCAGGGGCCAAATTCATTGAAACAGGATGACCTTGGTGGTGATGCATGCAGCGCCCCCACTTGCCACATGGGGGATGCAGTAAAGCTGCTACTGCTGGCAACATCACTCCGTGCTGGCAGCATCTAATAATGCTGCCAGCGTCGTTTTGCTGCCAGCGTCGTTTTGCTGCCAGCGTCGTTTTGCTACCAGCGTCGTTTTGCTGCCAGCGTCGTTTTGCTGCCAGCGTCGTTTTGCTGCCAGCGTCGTTTTGCTGCCAGCACCGCATGGATGCTTCCAGAACGCTGTTGGCAGCACGATGGCAGCGTGAGGGCTGTCCTCTACGAGGAGATTCCTTGTAGAGGAGCGGCTCGGCACCTTTGGAAGGGACACTCTAGCTGGGGAAGGTAGTCGGCTTGAGCTTCATTTGGTGCTCAAGGAGGTTGAGATCTCAACTCAACCTTTGCTCTCGGCAGGCTTAACCATGCGCAGCAAAATCCCCGTAGGCATGTCCTCACCTCGCCCTCACGTGCAGGCAAATAACTACGGGCGAATTAACTCGCCCGGTGATGACATCCATGTAGCCATGGTGAAGAATACGCGCAAGGCAGGAACATCTACTGCCGCCTCCGATGCGAGCTGTGATGGGGACGGCGGCGACGAAGAACACGGCGACGACGCCAAGGAGCATTGGCCGGAGAACGGCCACAACGACAGCGCTTCAGGGGATGAAATAGCTCCTGCCAACATCGACGAGGACGAATGGTGGAATCGGCCGGTTGGGAGTGACGACGAAGTGGAAGAGTGGCGGGCTGGTGATTCAGACAACGACAAGGGTGCTAATGCTGATGGTGAGCACGCGAAGGCAGCGGCGCATGCAACGGGAGCGACGGTAGATGCGAATGCGGATGCAGAAGCGAGTACGGAAGAGGAGGCGAAAGCGGATGCCGATGTTTCCAGTGTTCTTCTGAATGCACTCCTTTTCCTCACCACCTTGCTTCCAACCAGAGATGATTGCCGCTTTCAAGGGTTTGGTTCCTTGTTCATACATGCGCAAAACGGTAAAGCATAAAATACAAGTCAACCAGAACTAAGGTGATGACCACTGAGTGCACTGTCTACCAGGCACAAAGCACTCACGATTAGAAGCCGACGAACGTGATGCCAAAGGTGCTGCATGTTTCGAAGTCCAACATGTGTTGAATGTTGAGCGATGACACAAACGACCCCATCGTGCTATGCCAATGCCAACCCACCGCCATGCCATCCGCGTCCTCTTGCCCTGACCCCACAGCCCTCCTCGTCCCATCTCCCAGATTCCCAGCACTCACGACCAGAAGCTGACGAAGGTGTTGCCAATGGTGAGGTGCTGCACGTAGTGCATTTCCAAACCCAACATGTGCCGAATGTTCAGAGACTGATAGAGAATGATTACAAGGGCCACCCAAGCAAATGTCAAGTACCCAGCTCATGACACATCAAAGTCGACGATGCAATTGGCTCAATTTGCTTGTGCATACCCGCGCAGCACGGATCCAACATGCTGACTGGGTTGATTTGAAGAATGAAATGGCTCAGGGCCGATATGGCCCTTTCCTATGTGGTAGTGGCTCCTCATATTGTTCTGCTTGGTTACAATCACATATTACCACTCCATGGCGGCCCCATAGCAATAATACATAATAGTATTGAATATTTGTCGAGTCCGATGTGACGCAATCGGGAATGGAAAACAAATGAAGGAAAACGCAATAGTATAGCTTGAGAAGGAAAACAAATGAAGCCTAAGGGAATTGAGGGCCACAAAACAAGCAGCACTGTTTGTTATCAGTGTAATAATAATACACGGTACAGTACAAGAGAGAAGGAAAAGGAAGAGGAACAATAATATCGTAGAGCAGAAAGTGGTACTATAACGCAGAGTGTGGACAACAAAGGGAGTGACAATAACAAGAGGGGAGAAGAAACCCCCCCACAGCCCCCCCAAGGCCCCCCTAAGGCCCCCTTACCCCCCAATCCTCCTCACAGCCCCCCACAGCCCCCCAGCCCGCCCCCACTATCCCTGGCATGGCATGGTCCCCCCCTATCCCTGGCATGGCATGGTCCCCCCCTATCCCTGGCATGGCATGGTCCCCCTCTATCCCTGGCATGGCATAGTCCTGATCCTGGTCCTGGTCCTGGTCCTGGTCCTGGTCCTGGTCTTGTTCCTGTTCCTGTTCATGTTCCTGTTCCTGTTCCTGTTCATGTTGTCAGAAGGTGGCTGGAACAGTAACAAGACGGCAGGAACAGTAGCTGGGCAGCAGTAACAGTAACAAGGTGGCCGTAGCAGTAACTGGGCGGCTGGAACAGTACCGGGCAGCTGGAGCGGTTACCAGGTGGGTGGAGTGGTAACCAGGCGGTTGGAGCGATAACCAGGCGGCTGGAACGGTAAGCAGGCAGCAGGAACAGTAACCGGGCGGCATGAACAGTAGCCGGGCGGCAGGAACAGTAACCGGGCTTGCAAGGGCCAAGGCTAGGCCAAACCCACCCCGTGCCTAGCCCACACCCACCCCGCAGCTCTTATATATCGACACACGCACACAAGTACCGTACAAAACAAGAGCAAGGTGCATGTCCTTCCAAATATCCTACTTGTAGATGTGTCTCGTGTCTTGGTGGGGTGAGAAGGTCTCTTCACGGCGCCCTGCAGCGAGAGAAGGCCACCTGCGCAAGGCGGGGTGGGGAGGGGTGGCAGGATGGCAGGTGTGACAGCATGGCTCTCCGAGCCTCATCCAGACCAGAGCGGAGAGTGAACAGTGCAGGATGGGAACCAGTGGGGTGAACAGTGCGGGATGGGGAAACAGTGGGGTGAACAGTGCGGGATGGGGAAGCAATAGGATGAACAGTGGGGGATGGGAAAACAGGGGGGTGAGGAGGAGTGCAGAGCAAGGGAATGACGAGTGCAGAGCAAGGGAACGACGAGTGCAGAGCAAGGGAACGACGAGTGCAGAGCAAGGGAACGGCGAGTGCAGAGCAAGGGAACAACGAGTGCAGAGCAAGGGAACGACGAGTGTAGAGCAAGGTAACGTCGAGTGCAGAGCAAGGGAACAACGAGTGCAGAGCAAGGGAACGACGAGTGCTGAGCAAGGGAACGACGAGTGCAGAGCAAGGGAACGACGAGTGCAGAGCAAGGGAACGACGAGTGCAGAGCAAGGGAACGAGAGCATAGGGGAAGGGGGCCAGGAGAGTGAGAGCATAGGAGAAGGGGGCCAGGAGAGTGGGGACCGTTGTCTCACCTCGTGCCTCACTGGCTTCGCCTTAGCCTCGCCGCACCGTTGCCCAGCTGCGCCCGTCACTGTCGGCAGAAACGAGCAAGGGCGGAAACGAGCAAGGGCGGAAACGAGCACGAGGACATGGCATGGCATGGTAATCGGGCGGCATGAACAGTAACGGGGCGGCAGGAGCAGTGACGGGCGGCAGGAGCAGTGACCGGGCGGCAGGAGCAGTGACCGGGCGGCACGAGCAGTGACGGGCGGCACGAGCAGAGACGGGCGGCACGAGCAGTGACGGGCGGCACGAGCAGTGACGGGCGGCACGAAAAGTGACGGGCGGCATGAACAGTGACTGGCGGCATGAACAGTGACGGGCGGCATGAACAGTGACGGGTGGCATGAACAGTGACGGGCGGCCTGAACAGTGACGGGCGGCCTGAACTGTAACCGGGCGGCGGGAATAGTGACGGGCGGCATGGACAATGACGGGCGGCCTGAACAGTAACGGGCGGCATGAACTGTAACCGGGCAGCGGGAACAGTAACCAGGCTTGTAGGGGCCAAGGCTAGCCCAAACCTACCCCGTGCCTAGCCCAAACCCACCCCGCAACTCTTATATCGACACACGCACAAGTACCATACAAACAAGAGCAAGGTGCATGTCCTAATAAATATCCTACTTGTAAGTATGTCTCGTGTCTTGGCGAGGTGAGAAGGTCTCTTCACGGTGCCCCGCAGAAAGGAGAGAAGACCTTTCTGCGCAAGGCGGGGTGGGGAGGGATGGCAGGATGGCAGGTGTGACGGCATGGCGGATGGTTTAGAAACCATGGCAGAGGTTTAGGGTGCAGCACAGGTGAGTGGAGGGGAGCAGAGGTGAGTGGAGGGGAGCAGAGCACGTGAGTGAGTGAGGAGCAATAGGAGCGAGCGCGAGGGGCCTCACCTCACTGGCCTCAACAGGTTTGCCCAGAGCGCTCCAAGTCTGCCCCAACCCTTTTTGAGGTGCCTCAAAAATCTGCCCAGAGCGCTCCGAGTCTGCCCCAACCTTTCCGAGGAGAGGAGGTGAACGGAGGGAAGGAGAGGTTTTAGCATAGGGGCTGGCGGAGGGCGGAACGAGGAGGAGAGCGGAACGAGGAGGAGGAGGAAGGGCGCAACGAGGAGGAAGGGCGCAACGAGGGGGAGGGCGGAACGAGGAGAAAGGGCGGAGGAACGAACAAGGGCAGAATGACGGAAGCGGAACGAGCAAGTGCGGAACGAGCAAGGGCGGAACGAGCAAGTGCGGAACGAGCAAGGGCGGAACGAGCAAGTGGGGAACGAGCAAGGGCGGAACGAGCAAGTGTGGAACGAGCAAGTGCGGAATGAGCAAGTGCGGAATGAGCAAGGGTGGAACGAACAAGGGCGGAATGAGCAAGGGCGGAACGAGGAAGCATTTTTCTCACCCTTATCCGAGTTTCCCTAGCAATTGTCTTCGCCGCCTCTTGCATACGCCGCGTGTCGCGTCGCGCACGTTTTATAAGAAGCGCCCGTGGCGCGGGTCCGCAGCGCACATCACGTTCTTCGCGTCCCGCATCTGGCGCGTGAGCTCGGAAACCGTCAGCGCGTGTGCGCTACTGCTGCGAGCTGCGCGACGTGAGCGGCGCGAAGCCGAGCACAAAGGAGTGGAGGCGCAGGAAGGGGAGGGGATTAGGTTGACGGCGGGAAACGGCAGCGCTCGGTTCTCTCCCTCCATCCGCGAGTATAGCTCCTGAACCCGCTTTAGATCCGTTGGAGTCTGCTCCAACTCCCGCTTGCTCCGCGCTGTCTTCCCCTGTACCTGCGGGGGCGAATGAACAAGCAGATTCGCATGAATAAGCGCACGTGGAACGAACAAGTATACTTGTGTATGTAACATTCACATGAGCACGCACACATGCATGCTACCCTTTGGCAGCTGCAGGAGCTTATCTTTCAGTCGTCTCACTCACTTGCCCAGCCACCTCTGCTTGAAGAAACTCTTACCTGCCCGCCCACCTCTTCTTCAAGCTCTCACCTGCGTGGCCACCCCTGCTTCAAAATCTCACCTGCCCGGCAATCTCTACTCCAAACTCTCACCTGCCCAGCAATCTCTACCCCAAACTCCGCGGGAAACCGCGGGAAGGAAACCATGGGAAACCATGGGAAAGAGGGGAAAACGGCGGGAAAAGGCAGGAAAAGGAAGAAATCAGCAAGGAAACGGCACTTGGCCGTGCCTGGGGCGCGGAAAAGGCACTTGGCCGTGCCTGCGTCGCGAAAAGGGCACCTTGCTAGGCCTGCAGCGCGGAAAAGGTACTTCGCCGCGCCTCTCAGCCGGCTGTGCCGAGCCTCTCACCAGGCAGTGCCGAGCCTCTCATGGCGCGCAATCCGCCGCCTGCCACGTGGCGCGCGATTCGCCGCCTGGTGATGCTCGCGTGCTGGTGGGAGAGGTATAGGAGAGTGCTTTTCCTCCATCAGATCAGCACCAGTCGTGTCGCGTCGCTGTCAAAGAGAAAACAAAGAAAGAAGATCATCATTAAAAAAATAACAGAATGATTTGACGCAAAGCTGAATACAAAAGGAGCCCGCATTACTATACAGACCGGCCAGCAGGGAGAGCGTGATTTGTCGGGTGAAAGGAATCACGTTCTGCACAGCACGCGCGCGCGCGGTCACTCTTGTGCAGGCCGCGCGCGTTCACACCTACGTCTTCCAGCCCGGGTAGCTGCCGGCACGTGTTGCAGCCGCCACAAGGGAGGGAAATTCGATCCGGCGACTGCAACCGACTGAATCATGTACGATAGCGAGTACGGAGCGAGGCTGCGTTTGGTGTCTCAGGTTCGCGCCGCCGCAGATCTGTGGTGATCCGCAGCGCCACCTTAGAGACATTTCAACCATTTTCTCCGAGGAACGAGTCGTTTAGGGCGAGCCTGCAGTGCTGTTGCTCGCGCGCTGCCACATCGTGATGGCGAGAAGCTACTAAGAGACTAGAGATGGCTCGCAGAGGTGTAGAGAAGCTACGTTAGTGATTAAAGCAAGGCACGTAAGCAAGGCGAGGAATGTCAAAATGAGAGTAGTAGCTACTCGAGCAGGGTAGGATGAAAGCCATATGATGTCACGAGAAAAATGGTAGGGGAGCACGAGTACACGTTTCTCTGCGCTCAATCTGCTCTAAGCTGTTAAAATAATAAGAACGTAAGGGCCTAGGCTTAGGAGCCTAGGCCCAACTTAGGTATCGAGTGAGTTGGGCCCAAGGGGGAGAGTCGAGAAAGTTGTGAAAGGAGAAAAAGGTGGGTTGCACTATAGGTTCAAAGAACATATAGTATAGGAAACAAAAGGGTGCACCACCTAACAAAATTTGCAATAACTACACTAACTACAGCTACAGGCAGTTACAAATATAAATAATATAAAGTCTGACACTCCCCCATAACTGCCTGCAGCAGAAGTTTGTGCAGAACACAACTTGCAGGGGTACACAAGCAACACAAGCAAGATAATAACCAAGCAACAGCAGGTACTGCAGGCGGGCAGACAATAACTGGTCACCCCCTCCATCACCTCACCCTCCTCCCTCCCCTCCCCCACACTGCTGCAGGAGCAGTAGAGAGGGGGGGAAGAGAGGAGAGGTGGAGGGACGGCTGCTGGTTGCCTCACACCCTTCACCCCGGCGCCTCTCCCCCTGCTCCCCCACACCCTCACACCCTCCCCCCCAGCGGCAGCTGCAGCAGTGGGAACAAAAGGAGGAGGAGGGGAAGGGAAGGGTACGACCCACACTCCAACACCCTCCACCCCCATACCCTCCTCCCCGCGGCTGCAGGGAGACAAAGGAGGAGGGGGGTGGGAAGGAAGAAAGCCGCAGAGCGGCGAAAAGGTGTCGGTGCAGTGGTGTCAGGGGCGGCTTCAGGGAATGCAGGTGCGGAGAGCACCGTCGCAGGCGCCAGGGGCGGGTCCGCGGCGGCTCAAGGGCACCGCCACGGGCGCCAGGGGCGGGTCCGCGATGGCGCAGGGCACCGCCGCGGGCGCCAGAGGCGGGTCCGCGGGCGCCAAGGGCACCGCCGCGGGCGCCAGGGGCGGGTCCGCGACGGCAAAGGGCACCGCCGCGGGCGCCAGAGGCGGGTCCGCGGGCGCCAAGAGCACCGCCGCGGGCGCCAGGGGCGGGTCCGCGACGGCAAGGGGCACCGCCGCGGGCGCCAGAGGCGGGTCCGCGGGCGCCAAGAGCACCGCCGCGGGCGCCGAAGGCGGGTCCGCGGGCGCCAAGAGCACCGCCGCGGGCGCCAAAGGGGGCGGGTCCGCGACGGGTAGAAAATAAAAACGTCACGCGCCCGTGGCGCGTGACCAATAATTCAGCAGCGGAAGCTTTGGTCGGGCCCACAGGCCAGGACCAACCTGCTCTGATACCATGTTAAAATAATAAGAACGTAAGGGCCTAGGCTTAGGAGCCTAGGCCCAACTTAGGTATCGAGTGAGTTGGGCCCAAGGGGGAGAGTCGAGAAAGTTGTGAAAGGAGAAAAAGGTGGGTTGCACTATAGGTTCAAAGAACATATAGTATAGGAAACAAAAGGGTGCACCACCTAACAAAATTTGCAATAACTACACTAACTACAGCTACAGGCAGTTACAAATATAAATAATATAAAGTCTGACATAAGCTTCCGCCTGCACCTGCTCCGCGCTTCTGCCAGCTACTATTCGCCACGCCTGGGGGTGATGAAAGCGTCAGCGCGGAAGTGGGATTGCCTACTGTTTCCATCGCGATTCCCCCAAGCTGCTGATCGCGTCGCGCTCGTCACGTATCGCTGCCGCTGCCCACCACGCCAGCAGCGAGGCGCCGCGCAAGGGACAAAGACACGGGCCGCTTCTCCTCTTGGCAGCTGTATCGGTAATAAACTTTCTGAAAACGACGAATCCTTACTGCTGGTTTCTAACGAGGGCGGTCATTTCGGGCGTGTTGCCTCTACGCTAGCGAGGCGCGCAGGAAGAAACGCTACGGTGCTAAGGCGATGCATGAGCTTGACTGGTGGTCAAGTAAGAATAGAAGGCACGCTATGGTGCTAATTAGCAAGGTGAAGCGAGGAATGTGTTGTGAGGGAATCGAAAGTAGGTGCGGAGCGGGGTGGAGTGGAGGTGTACGAAAATCCCAAGCCACCCAGCCCACAAGATGGTGTGTAACATCTAGGGCAGAAGGAAACAAATAGGATGCACGACTCTATTCGTGGTTAGAAAATTAAAATTCTGGAACATTCCGCACAAAACGGAAAACGTCACGGTTGGGTGTACAGGATGGACCTGACCGAGAAGGAAAAAAAAAAACGTGGGGGGGTGGGGAACACCCCACACGTAGGGATGAAAACTTGGTCCCAGGCTCTCAGAGTCACATACTCCTAGTAGTATCGATTCGCACAACGGTTCCTGAAGCGCGGTACCGATTTGAAGCGCGGTTCCGCGTTGCACAACTTTTCCGTCAGCTGGAAATTTGCAGGGTATACAGTAAAATATGCTTTTGTTCATGACATATTAATTTGATATGTTTTTACTGAGTTGAAGAATCAACAATCGAGAATATGAAAAGACAAAACACACAGAACATAATTACTAGCTCCATAAATGGAAATTCCAATCATGTAAATGTAATACATCTGAATGGTACAATGCATGGCAACATTATCGATACGCTAATTGATATATCGACGAGGACAACGACGACGACGCGTGACGAGGACGAGGACAAAGGTGACGAGGAGGAGGAGGAGGAGGAGGAGGAGGAGGAGGAGGAGGAGGAAAAGGAGGAGGAGGAAGAGGAGGAGGAAGAGGAGGAGGAGGAGGAGGAGGAGGAGGAGGAGGACGACGACGACGAGGAGGAGGACGAGGAGGAGGACGAGGAGGAGGACGAGGAGGACGACGACGAGGAGGACCAGGAGGAGGAGGAGGAGGAGGAGGAGGAGGAGGAGGAGGAGGAGGAGGAGGAGGAGGAGGAGGAGGAGGAGGAGGAGGAGGAAACACAAGCACAAGCAGCAAACTGTAAGTAGGAAATGCTCAACAGAAGTAGGACACACCTGCACAAGCACAAGCAGCAAATTGTAGTAGTGAGCATCCGCCTCACCATCAAGCAGCAACAGGAAATGCTCAGCAGCACCATCACGCACGCAAGCAGCAAACAACAGTTGTGAGCATCCGCCTCACCATCAAGCAACACCTAAAAATGCTCATCAGTAGTAGGACACACCAACACGAGCACGAGCAGCAAACTGTGGTAGTGAGCATCCTCCTCACCATCGAGCAGCAAGAGGAAATGCTCTGCAACAGTAGGACACACCAGCACGAGCACAAGCAGCAAATGGTAATTGTGAGCATCCGCCTCACCGTCGAGCAGCAGCAGAAAATACTAAGCAGAAGTAGGACACACCAGCACGAGCACAAGCAGCAAACGGTAGTAGTGAGCATCCACCTCACCATCGAGCAGCAACAAGAAATGCTCAGCAGCAGTAGGAAACACCAGCATGAGCCAAGCAGCAATCTGTAGTTGTGAGCATCCGCTTCACCATCGAGCAGCAACAGGAAATGCTAAGCAGCAGTAGGAAACACCAGCACGAGCACAAGCAGCAAACGGTAGTTGTGAGCATCCGCCTCACTATCGAGCAGCAACAGAAAATGCTCTGCAGAAGTAGGAATCACCGACACGAGCACAAGCAGCAAACTGTAGTAGTGAGCTTCCGCCTCACCATCAAGCAGCAATAGGAAATGCTCAGCAGCACCATCACGCGCACAAGCAGCAAGCGGCGGTTGTGAGCATCCGCCTCACCATCGAGTAGCAACAGAAAATGCTCATCAGTAATAGGACACACCAGCACGAGCACAAGCAGCAAAATGTGGTAGTAAGCATCCGCCTCACCATCGAGCAGCAAGAGAAAACGCTCAGCAGCAATATGATACACCAGCACGAGCACAAGCATCAGATGGTAGTTGTGAGCATCTGCCTCACCATCGAGCAGCAACAGAAAATGCTCAGTAGAAGTAGGACACACCAGCACGAGCACAAGCAGCAAACGGTACTAGCGAGCATCCGCCTCACCATTGAGCAGCAACAAGAAATGCTCAGCAGTAGTAGGACACACCAGCACGAGCAGAAGCAGCAAACGGTAGTTGTGAGCATCCGCCTCACCATCGAGCAGCAACAGGAAATGCGCAGCAGCAGTAGGAAACACCAGCACAAGCACAAGCAGCAAACTGTAGTAGTGAGCATCAACATCACCATCGGGCAGCAACAGGAAATGCTCAGCAGCAGTAGGAAACACCATCATGAGCACAAGCAGCAAACGGTAGTTGTGAGCATCCGCATCACCATCGAGCAGCAACAGGAAATGCTCAGCATCTGTAGGAAACACCATCACGAGCACAAGCAGCAAACGGTAGTTGTGAGCATCCGCATCACCATCGAGCAGCAACAAAAAATGATGAACAGCAGTAGGAAACGCCAGCACAAGCACAAGCAGCAAGCGACAGTTGTGAGCATCCGCCTCACCATCGAGCAGCAACAGAAAATGCTCAGCAGTGGTAGGAAACACCAACATGAGTATAGGCGGAGGAGGAGGAGGAGGAGGAGGAGGAGGAGGAGGAGGAGGAGGAGGAGGAGGAGGAGGAGGAGGAGGAGGAGGAGGAGGAGGAGGAGGAGGAGGAGGAGGTTGAGTGCAATGCTGGGCCGTTGTGTGCAGTCATTGGTGGTGCTGAGTGCCCGTGAGCGGTGACACGCGGTGATGAGCGCTGATTAGGTTGGGAGCGGTGTCGAGTGGCTGTGAGCGGCTCTCGGTGATTCAGAGTGGCAGTGAGCGGCGCTGAGCTGTTGTGTGTGGTCATTGGTGGTGCTGAGTGCCGGTGAGTGGTGACGAGCTGTGACGAGTGGTGATGAGCAGCTCAGAGAGGTGCGGAGTGGTGATGAGCGGCTTTGAGCAGTGCCGAGTGGTGATGAGCGGCTGTGAGTGGTGCAGAGTGCTGCAGAGCGGTTCAGAGCAGCAGTGAGCGGTGCTGGGCCGTTGTGTGCGGTCATCGCTGGTGCTGAGCGCCCGTGGGTGGTAAGGAGTAGTGAAGAGCCACTCTGAGAGGTGCCAAGTGGTGATGAGCTGCTCTGAGCGGTGCCAAGTGCTGCAGAGCGGTTCAGAGCAGCAGTGAGTGGTGATGGGTCGTTGTGTGCGATGATTGGTGGTGCTGAGCGCCCGTGAGCGGTGACGAGAAGTGATGAGCCACTCAGAGAGGTGCCGAGTGGTGATGAGCAGCTCTGAGCGGTGACGAGTACTGCAACAAGGTTCAGAGCGGCAATGAGAAGTATTGGGCCTTTGTGTGCGGTCATGGTGGTGCTGAGCGTCCGTGAGTGGTGATGAGCGGTGATGAGGGGTGATGAGCGGTGATGAGGGGTGATGAGCGACAGAGAGAGGTGTCCAGTGGTGATGAGCGGCTCTGAGCGGTGCCGAGTGCTGCAGAGTGGTTCAGAGTGGCAGTGAGCGGTGCTGGGCCGTTGTGTGTGGTCATTGGTGGTGCTGAGTGCCCGTGAGTGGTGACGAGCGGTGACGAGTGGTGATGAACGGTGTAATCTGACTAAGGTGTGACGTTGATGTCCGTCTCCCGCCTCTCGACTACTGCAAACAAGGATGCCTTGAGCATCACGGAAACAACTGTGAGTACTGTACAACACTCGTGGTTGTGCTCGTCTGGTGCTTCTAAACCATTCGTGCCATCCCAAGAATCAAGATAGGTTCAACATGTTTCATTTCTTCGCATAACATCCTCTTGTATCAGTTTCCTGTACAGCGTGCGAACGTACTGGAGACAAAGCGTTGTGAATTTCAGTCCCAGTGCCAAAAAAAACCCTATGTGCTGCTCTTGCTGCTTTTCTTGCTGTTCTTGCTGCTGCTACTGATGCTGTTTCTTCTACTGTTGCTTCTGCAGCCCTTGTGGTGCTGGATGTGTTGACCCAGCAGGGACAATTGCAGCAGCCAGGCTAGATGAAAGACCCAGGCAGGTTCCTTCCCAGAATGCCCACACGACGTGCGGAGGACATCAAGGGGCAACGAGGGGAGGAAAGAACGAGGCGAAGGACTGGATGATTGGGGAGAGGGCGCGGGGGCTGCAAATCAGTGAGCAGTAGCAGCACACGCAATGACATCGGCAGCACAAGCAATGACATCGGCCGCACAAGCAATAACATCGGCAGCACAAGCAATGACATCGGCAGCACAAGCAATGACATCGGCAGCACAAGCAATGACATCGGCAGCACAAGCAACGACATCGGCAGCAACAACAGGGCAGCAGTAGCAAGCAGTGACAGCAGAGCTGCAGCAAGCACTGGCGGCAGCAGCAGTAGCAAGCAAGCACTGGCGGTAGCAGAAGTAGCAAGCAAGCAGTGACGGCAGCAGCGGTAACAAGCAAGCACTGACGACAGCAGCAGTAGCAAGCAAGCAGTGACCGCAGCAGCAGTAGCAAGCAAGCAGTGACGGCAGCAGCAGTAGCAAGCAAGCAGTGATGGCAGCAGCAGCAGCAAGCAAGCAGTGACGGCAGCAGCAGTAGCAAGCAAGCAGTGACGGCAGCAGCAGCAGCAAGCAAGCAGTGACGGCAGCAGCAGTAGCAAGCAAGCAGTGACGGCAGCAGCAGTAGCAAGCAAGCAGTGACGGCAGCAGCAGTAGCAAGCAAGCAGTGACGGCAGCAGCAGTAGCAAGCAAGCAGTGACGGCAGCATCAGTGCTAAGCAGTGACGGTCCGAACAGAAGCAACCAGCAGTAAAAAGCCCGAACAGAAGCAATGGCAGCAAACAGCCCAAAGCAACAGCAGCAAACATCCCGAGCAGAAGCAACAGCAGGAGAAGGGTGTGTTTTGGCACGACCAAAACTGCAGCATAGGGAGAGAGGGGAAAGGGATGGAAAGCGACGGGTGAGTGGGCCCCATGGGAGGGAGCAAGGGAAGATTCACCTTTAAATCCTCAACCAACAGCACACTCTCCAGTTTCACCTCTCTGAGAAACTTAGAACGAGAATGGATTGACTAAGGAATGAAAGTGATACAAATATGAAACCCTAGAATTGTGTACCCCTTAGTATCTAACCCGCTACAGTCTACACAGGCTAGATCATATAAGTTTGACACACCCCCATAGGCAAAGTGGGGGAGAACAAGGGGTCACAAGACCAGTCAAGCAAAGCAAGACAAAGCAAGCTCAGGGTGGATCACAACGTCACCACACATTCTGAGCACAAGTTCAAGGCCACAAGGCCAGTTAACATGCATGAGTACACACATATATATAACGCTAAACAAGCAAGAGCATGTATATGTATATGTAACAGTATAAGCAAGGTCAAAAAGTTAGCAAGTGAGGCAAGGTAGGTACAAGACCTAACAGAGTACAGAAGCGCTGATGGTCACAAGGCGCAAGTGCCTGGGTGAAGATATCAGCAGTGTTGGCCTCAGAGGCCACGTACGCAAGGCGCAGCTGACCTCGCTGCTGCAACTCACGAGCAAGGAAGTAGCGAAGAGCGATGTGCTTCGTTCTGTGCTCCAGTCTGTGCTCCCGACACAAGGCCAGCATAGCCTTGTTGTCTACGTATAGAACTGGAGGAGAACGAGGCGGCTCTCCTAGGTCAGTCAGCAGGTAGGTGAGCCAGCGTAGCTCCTGTGCAGCCATGGCCCCTGCGTAGATCTCAGCCTCACAACTGGAGCCGAGAACAGAAGACGAGCGGGTAGACCGCCACGAAACAGAGCCGGAACCAAGGCTGAAGGTGTAACCTCGTGACGAAAGCTGCGTAGCCTGGTCATCAACCCAAGAAGCGTCTGCGTGGCCAGTGAGGACCACTGGACTCCGCCCTCCAAGCACAAGCCCCATGCCCGGCGTACTGCACAAGTAGCACAACACCCTCTTCGCTGCAGCCATGTGCTCTGGTTTGTGTCTCCCAGGAGCAACATAGCGTGCCAGAATGCTAAGAGGGTATGCAAGGTCAGGTCGAGTGCAGGTCATCAGGTACATGAGGCAGCCAACAAGCTCTGGGTACGGGCCACTCGACTCTACGGACTCATCCGAAGGCAGAGCTGAGAGCGAGTGGCAAGTAGGCAGAGGAGTGGCCTGAGGCGAGGAGTACGTGAAGCCAAAGCGCTGAAGGACCTGCTGCACCATGTGTGACTGAGTCAGGGTAATGGTGCGGCGTGCTCTGTCCCGGGCGATCTGCAAGCCAAGGTAGCTGCGCAGTTCACCCAGGTCTGTGCATGTGTGTCTCTTCTGCAGCTCAGACTTCACGTGGGCGAGTCCAGCAGTGTCAGCAGTGGCAAAGACCAAGTCGTCGACGTACACGAGGATGTAGAACGGCGGCAAAGAAGTGTCGTTGCACAGAAACAGCGACGGGTCGGCAGTAGAAGGCGCAAACCCAAGAGCTGCAAGTGTAGTCCTCAGTGTGTCGTGCCACTCACGAGGTGCTTGGCGGAGACCGTAGACTGGCCACTGGAGGCTCCACTGGGTACCAGGAGGAAAAGACCCAGTGAAGCCAGGTGGGCGGCGTAGCCAGATCTCCTCGTGCAGGCTGCCCTGCAAGAAAGCTGTGCTGAAGTCAAGAGAGTGAAGCTCGTAGTCACGGTGAGTGGCTATGTGCAGTAGTACCCGAAGAGTGGTCATCTTCGGGGTGGGAGAGAAGGTCTGAAAGTAGTCAACTCCCTGCCGCTCACTGAAGCCACGAGCCACGTAGCGCGCCTTGAAGACAGGCGGAGAACCCGGCGGCCGCTTCACCCTAAAAATCCACATGCCACTGATGATGTTCGCCCCAGGAGGGGGAACTTCGTCGACGTAGGTGCCTGTGGACTTCCAAGAAGCCATCTCTGCATCCATGGCTGCCTGCCACTGAGAGGAGTAGGGACCCTCTATCGCCTCCGCGTAAGAGCGCGGAGTCGGGATGTCTGGTGCATCCGGGTCTCCCTCAGGGGCAAGCAGCATGAACACGAGATGAGGTGAAGCAGCAGCAAAGCACTGGAACTCCTCCTGCTTGTCCTCAAGGATGTTCGTGCCAAGGGCACACTCACCCCTGACGGACGGAGGACAGACAGACGCAGACTCAGCGACAAGACTAGGAGCGTAGTCTAGGCGACAGCGAGCAGCGAAGTCGAGAAGCTCAGAAACTAAGGCAGACGCAGCAGCGGACTCAAAGGAAGGGTCAGTGACGACAGTAGCAAGGAGACACGTGACAGCAGGACTGGCAGCACGAAGGGAATCCGACTCCGGGTCAGCAAGAACAGGAAGAGAGGACTCAGGAGGAGAAGGGAAAGGGGCACGCAGCGGAGCAGTGGAGGGACTCAGGGACATCCGGTGCGTGCCGGGGACAGGGGGAGGACGCTGACGCGAAACACGACTACTAGTGCGAGCAGCACGGACAGGCGACGCAGGACGAGACGCAGGCTCACGACGCTCAGCAAGACCTCCAGTAGGACCAGTGTAGGGAGAAGGAGCAGGTAGGGGGGAGGCGGGCAGTAAGTGTGACCACGACTGGATAGGCTGTGGACACTCTAAGGGAGGAGCAGGACCAGTAGAGGGCGGGAGACCAAGAACCTACTCAAGGAGCGGAACAAAGTACGGCCTCGGCCGCGCAGCGCCTCCAGAACCAGCAGGGACAGCACCAGTACCCCCAGCGGCAGCACCAGCGCCAGCAGTACCTCCAGCTTCAACAGCGCCAACTCCAGCACCCTCTGAAGTACCAACGCCAGCAGAACCACCAGCGCCAACACCCCCAGCAGCTCCAGCTCCAGCAGCTCCAGCAGCACCCCCAGCTCCAGCAGCGCCAACTCCAGTACCCTAAGAGGCAACAACACAAGAGGCACCCTCAGCGCCAACACCCCCAGCAGCCCCAGCTCCAGCCGGACCACCAGAAGACGCAGCGGGTTCAGCTCTAGCACCCTCAGTAGCACCGACGCCCGCAGCACCACCAGCTCCAGTATGAGAAGCACCCGCAGGCCCAGCAGCTCCAGTACTCCCAGTACTAGCACCTCCGGGACCCAAGGCACCAGCACCCTCAGCACCAGCGGAACCTCCAGCACCCGCAGCACCTCCAGCTCTAGCAGCTCGCCTCCAGCGCCGGGCAAACCACTCACGCAGCTCCTGTGGAGAGAGTAGCTCCCGCCAGGACGAAGCACCCGAAGAACCTCCTGGCCCAGCACGGCCAGACGCCACACGAGCAGGTCCAGTACCCTCACACTCCGCACCCCCGGACGTAGCACCCCCGGGCTCAGCACCCCAAGACGCAGCACCCCCCGGGCGTAGCATCCCCAGGCTTAGCACCCCCAGAGTCAGCACCCCCAGGCTCAGCACCCCTAGACCCAGCACCCGCAGGCTCAGCACCCCTAGCAGCACCAGATTCAACAGCTACCTCGACAGGGTCGACTGCGTCTACCTGAGACACACCTGAGGGGGCAGGACCCTGAGGGGGGAGGGGGTCTACCAGAGGGGGACCTGGCGTAAGGAAGAGTGGAGAAGGAGACGAGCTGCGCGGATCCAGGTAATCAATACCTCAGTGACCTCACCCTTGCTGCGCAAGGGGAAGATTGCAATGTAACGCGAGTAGTAAGGCTCGTGACCCTGTCCACGGATGCGGGCTGGGCCCCACACGTCCATGTGAAGCGTCTGCAGCGGTCCCTCTGTAGGAGGAAACTCGGAGGAGTGAGGAGCAGCGCGCTGCCGCCCGTCAACGCAGGGAACGCAGGTGGGGGCAAGCCCCGGAGGAAGGGGAGGGAGGGGCCGGGGGAGACCAGAGACAAGGACACGGGAGGCCATGCCTCAAAGACGAGGCAGGGAGGGGTGACCAAGGCGGTGGTGCCAGAGGAGAGTCTGGTGAGACAGGAGACGACACGAGCAGGGGGCAGACTCAGGACCAGACCTGGACGCCGCAGCAGACACCTGACCCGACGCGGCTACCTGAGCAGACTCAGCGACCGGAGGAGACTCAGTAGTCAGTGTGTACAGGCTCGACCTCGGCTGACGGGTAAACGTGGCCAAGTGACGGCCCGTCCGAGCACAGGTACAGTGGGTCACTCGCTGACTCGCAAGAGTGAACTGGTGAACCCCTCCATCCTGGAGGTCAGCACCACTCACCAAGTTCGTAGAGAACGAGGGGAGGTAAAGACCCGACAGGGTGCCAGAAAGGGCCGGCGGACACGGTAGAACAGTGGAGAAGTGGGCAAGGACAGGACCCCCAGAGGGGTCTGCCAGGGAGACTACCACTAGCCGACTAAGCGGCGTAAGCGTGGTGCGGTCTCGAAAGAAGGAGCGGGAAGCACCCGAGTCAAGGGTGAAGGTGTGGGTGGCCGGAGCCGACGCGGTACCTGAGAGCGCAGACTCACCAGCACCTGGGGCAGCAGGCTCACTGGCACCTAGAGCAGCAGCCTCACCAGCACCTAGAGCAGCAGCCTCAATGCCCGGGTCAGGCGGAAAACACCGGTAACAGTCACCCTCATCACTAATAGTCACAGCATACATTGCAGCAAGAATAGCATCATAATGAAGATCAAAGATCGCAACACCCGCCCTAAACAGCTCGCCCCAGCGAGGGATCTCAGTAGCGTCGGGGAACTGGTGACGCCAAGCGTCCGTCAGGCGGCCGAAGCAGCGCTGGGTGGAGAGCGGACCCCCACACTGCTCACCCGTGTGGTCGCCTGTACGTAGAACGTAGGTACAGGGGCCAGCACCCCAACCCCGCTGACGAGCTGTGTACCACTCACGAAGCGGCTGGGGGGAAGGGGTCTCACGAGTGCGCTGCTGCTACTGCTGCTAGCGCTGACCACCACCGGAGCCGACCCTCTGCGAAGAGCCGCCCCGACCAGCTCCACCTCCGCCGCCGCTACCTCCACCACCGCCTCCACCTCCACCACCTCCGCTCGCACTGCCACCGCCGCCGCCTCCTCCACCTCCACTGTCGCCACTAGTGCCCCCACTCCCGCCACCACTCCCACCGCCACCCCCACCCCCTCCGCCGCCTCCACCGTCGCCTCCACCGCCCCCGCCAGCTCCTCCAGCGCCCTTGCCCCCCTTGCCCTTGCCTGAGAGGCGTCTCCCGCTAGGGGCAGACGCCGCGCCGACCGACTCAAGACCAACGAGGTCGGCCGCAGCAGCAGAGGCAACAGAGGGCAAGAGGGGGGAGGGGGAGCACCCCTCAAAGACAGGGGTACGAAGGTCACCACGAGAGGCTCCTACAGCGACTTTCCTCTTTTCTGCTGCTAGGAGGCGCTCCTCTAGGAGGTCACCGGTGAGGGTGGTGGGGCAAACAGAGAGGAAGTGGCCCCTGACCGAGCGAAGGGTGTCAGGGAGGCGGGTGACTATGTAGTAGAGGGTGATGTACATAGGGGGGGGGTTCTTGGCGCAGAACTCAGCAGGAAGCGCAGCGCGGTAAAGAATGTCACTAGTGCGAAGGTGCGTAATGAGGTCAGCGACTGTGGGAAAAGCGGAGAGGTCAGGGAAGAGGTACGGCAGTATGAGGCGGCTAAGGGCAGTAGTGGCAGGGGAAGAGTAGCGTGCAACGACAGCGTTGTACACGGTCTTAGCACTCTTGAACTGACTAAAATGCGCGCGCTCAGCGGTCGGTAAGTGGCGGCGCACAGCAAGGCGAGCAGCAGCATCGCGCGTGGCCCACTGTGAGCGAACATTGGCGTCAGCATCAGCAGCAGGGGCAGGAGAGGCACCAGAGGTGAGGTCAAACAGAGAGAGACCGTCTGCCCTATCGCACTGTAGGAAAAGCCGCAGATCATCTACCCAGACCTCAAAGTCAACAGCCCGACCCTCAGCGTCAAAGGTGAGAACACTGGGGGTGGCCATGACAGCTGTAGACTGGCAGAGAGAGCAGTGGGGTAGGGCAGTGCAGTGGCAGAGGCGCTGCTCTTACCAGGCAGGTGGGGCGGGCCGAGGCAGGCCGGCAGGGACAGGGCCGCGTCAGCAGGGACTGCGGCGTCTCGGCTGCGGTGGCGTGGAGTGGCGGCTCGGCGGCTCGGCTGCAGGGCGGCTCGGTGGCTCGGCGGCTCGGCAGCTCGGGGGTTCGACGGCTCGGTAGCTCGGCGGCTCGGCGGCTCGGCAGCTCGGCGGCACAGCGGCAAGGGCGGCTCGGTGGCTCGGCGGTGACGGCGGCTCGGCTGCTCGACAGGGCCGAGAAGGGCGGCTGAGGGGGCCAAGGAAGGGCGGCAGGGCCGCGAAGGGCGGCGACGGGGCCGCAAGGGGCGGCAACGAGGCCGCTGAAGGGTAGCGACGAGGCCGCTGAGGGGCGGCGACGAGGCCGCTGAAGGGCGGCGACGAGGCCGCGAAAGGGCGGCGACGGGGCCGCGGAAGGGCGGCAATGAGGCCTCTGAAGGGCGGCGACGAGGCCGAAAGGGGCGGCGACGGGGCCGTAAGGGGCGGCGACGGGGCCGTAAGGGGCGGCGACGGGGCCTTAAGGGGCGGCGACGGGGCCGTAAGGGGCGGTCGCGGGGCCGTGAGGGGCGGCGATGGGGCCGTAAGGGGCGGTTGCGGGGCCGTGAGGGGCGGCGACAGGGCCGTAAGGGGCGGCGACGGGGCCGTAAGGGGCGGCGACGGGGCCTTAAGGGGCGGCGACGGGGCCGTAAGGGGCGGTCGCAGGGCCGTGAGGAGCAGCGACGGGGCTGTAAGGGGCGGTCGCGGGGCCGTGAGGGGCGGCGACGGGGCCGTAAGGGGCGGTCGCGGGGCCGTGAGGGGCGGCGACGGGGCCGTAAGGGGCAGTCGCGGGGCCGTAAGGGGCGGCGACGGGGCCGCTAAGGGGCCACGCGGGGCCTAGAGAGGGCAGCGACGGGGCCTGAGGGGCGGGACACTAGGCGCGCTTCGAGCAGGGGCGGCACGCGCCCTGGGTAGGAAAAAAAATCTTGGTGGGCCCTAGGAACAGTTCCCACGAGGGAACCTGCTCGATACCATGAGAAACTTAGAACGAGAATGGATTGACTAAGGAATGAAAGTGATACAAATATGAAACCCTAGAATTGTGTACCCCTTAGTATCTAACCGGCTACAGCCTACACAGGCTAGATCATATAAGTTTGACACTCTCCATACGAACTCTGCAACACCACATCACCCTCTCTTGTCACTGGTTACTTCCCACTGTTATCTTGCAGTACATAATCCTCACTCGACTCCCTCACATTCTCCATCCAATCTGACCTGAATGTCATGTGACGCGTGCATCCGCTGTCCATGAACCATGCCGTCTTCTCACGTCCGTCCGTCTGACGAGCATCCTTTGGTAGACGCACCACGTTCACAAGATGCGCTCCTCCAAGGATCACATCTTCCTTTTCCGCTTCTGCTACATTCGCCTTTGCCGCCACGTTCCTCTGCTGCAACGGACCCTTGTAGCTCCTGCTGTTCGGATTGGAGTAGAACTCTGCGGCACGATGTTGTAACTTCACTTGTTTCCCAAGTAACCGCGTGCGCCTCGTTTCACCCCGAATCGCACACAGAACCGAACCGAATTCAAGCAACACTCCTCGGGTCCGAATCAAGCACCTTCTCGAACACGCCTCGAGCTCGAAACACATTTTCCCCGTCGATCTCATTCTCGATGCTTCTCCTTCTAGCACATTTCTTCCTGATTTCTCTCTCGCTTCTCACGCCTTAGCTTCCAATGTCCACCGTAGGCCGAATTCCACCATTTCATTCATGAATCATCTACGCGCTTCCATTTGGCCAACATTCCGCCATCGTAGAGACTTTTGCCGTAGGTTCCGTGGTTGGGCGAACCAACCCTAACATAGTATCGCTGCTGCTACTGCTACTACTACCACGGTTCGACGGGTCATCGCACCTAGCGATTTCGCGAGACGCTGTACGAGCGACACGCACGGCAGATAGCCTGAGACCGCGAGCGCCGCAACAAACGCCTCTTAGGATCGTACTACTTGTACTAATAGTACTACTAGTGGTACTACTACTATCATAGTATCGCTGCTGCTACTGCTACTACTACCACGGTTCGACGGGTCATCGCACATTGCGATTTCGCGAGACTCTGTGCGAGCGACGCGCACGGCAGATAGCCTGAGACCGCGAGCGCCGCAACAAACGCCGCCAAGAGACCGAGACGGAGGCCGCAAAGCACCGCCATAGTAGCCGGCAAGCTTCCGCCAGTTGACTGCAACAGAATCGGCGATCTATTCCCTGTCACAGCCCCAAAATTTCTCGGCTGGAAGGAGGATTCGCGTCATAGTCGACAAAATTCCTTCCTCTTGAGGGCAGCTCGACTATCGTACGAAGCAGATTGCATCCTCCACACCACACCTACCACCACCAGTGCCCTATTCGCGCCAAGATAACATGATCCAGCCAGCCGTTGGCCTCATCCTGGCTACAACTTCACCGGTTCCCACTTCACGGAGAAGGAGAGGCTCCACTCGACCCGCTACAGACGGCGGTGTCAGAACAATTTTTCTTATCCTTATCCACGCTGTCGCCCTCTTGATCCACTTTCGCACGACGCACTATAGCATTCTAGCTTCATTGCAAGAATACTAAATTTCCTTGCTGAGTCAAGATGATTGTAACAAAACGTATTAGCCATTGGGCCCTCCAATACTTGCTCTAATGATGCGAAGTGTCCATAAATGTGCCTCCAAGCTTGGTTTGGTCTAATATTTTGCGGTTGTTTTTTTACAAGGGGTTATTTATTCTCTACTAATCAATCATTAATCTAGATGCATGCAAGCAGCAAAGCCCCTCTCCTCTCTCCACACACTTTGAAAGTTGTGTGCTTAAGTTTTGGAGTTGGAGTATACCCATACTTCTACATCAATGCCCCTAGCACAACCATAATCTTGAATAGCTTAAATAACGTGCGTATATGAAACAAATCGTATATGACTGTTGAACAATATATTTACGTATATTGTTAGTGACCGCATATAGAAATTGTTAGTGTGGTTATTTGACGAACGTGTTTTGTGGTGTACCTTGTTTCTTGCCTATTTGTACTGCCCATTCTATAGTGCAACACCTCTGTGGCCAACCTTTCGTACTCTCGATACCCGAAACCCTAGCTTTGGTTCCTTGCCTTAGCTCCTACTTTGGCAGTACCACTTCCTTTCTGCGAAGAACCCTTACCATGATCCACTCTCTCCCTCAGCAGAATAAGCAAATAGCACCTCTCCATTCCATCTGCACGTGTCTGTTCGTCACGCCCTCAAACGAGACTGGTTGATTGTATGTGTAGCCATTCCAATGCGGGGAGATCGTATACTTGGCGTCAGAATCAATTATTCTCAAAACTAATGACAAACGCTTTACCGTACTTGGACACTAAGCGCTCTGTCAAATCTCACTAGCAGGCTATCTATAGGCCGTTGATTTGAAAGGCAGCTATGTTTCGCTCCTAGACCTTCCACCTAGAAGCTCACTCCCTATATGATGCCATGTCCCAAATCACAGCCAGGCCTTAAAAAAGTGTACCGTTGAGGTGTGTGATGGATGGAAGGCGATGGCATGCTTAATCAGAAATCAAAACAGAAAGGGAGAGGAGGAGGAGGAGGAGGAGGAGGAGGAGGAGGAGGAGGAGGAGGAGGAGGAGGAGAGGGAGGAAAGTGGGGGTGGGGGGAGGAGCGCTAGGGTACAGAGGAGGCTCGGGGGTGATATCAAAGATGTTCCTACTATGGCTACTTGGTCTTGGATGTCCACCAAGTAAACGTCACGTTTCAAATAGTTCAAACCATCACCCCGTCCTGAGTTTTCCATCACTAACTGGAGAAATCACAATTGGTTGTAGCATACTTATGGTTTCCACCTGAGAGAAGCTCGCATTTTTTAAGAGGCAGTAGGTAAGTGTAATGTGTCGCATGTAGCCTTAGCAACATTAACATCACTACTCCTGCAGTTCTTTTCATGGACTGGAAAGAAGTCGGGAATCACAATTGTAAATTGAAAGTCATCCACATATACAAAGACGTACAGTGGTCCCGGCACTCCCACTACCTGCTTATCCACTCCCCTCCCAAAGACCACCATCCCATTGCCCTGGAAAAATCACTCTCCTCCTGATGGACTCCTCCCCCCTCCCCTCCCCGCCCCTCCACTGTACAACGCCCAGCGATATATTTTTAAGCTCAAATAATCCGGCTGGGAAGCCCGTGACAGTTCGCCTCAGAGTGTTACCTCCCTCCCTGAAGCCGGCCTTACGAAGAGTGCAGCGACTTATGATGCAAAACCTCATGAGTCAGTAGCATGAGAAGATTAGAACGAGAATGATGTGAACTATGAATGAAGCGAGTACAAATATGAAACCCTAGTTGGGTTGTACCCCCTATGGGATACCCCACTATAGCCTACAAAATAGCATAAGCTTTTATGTTCTGACACACCCCCATAGGCAAAGTGGGGGAGAACAAGGGGTCACAAGACCAGTCAAGCAAAGCAAAGCAAAGGTCAGGGTGGATCACAAAGTCACCACACATTCCGAGCACAAGTTCAAAGGCCAAAAGGCCAGTTCACATGCAAGAGCACATATATATATACACGAGGCTAAGCCAGCAAGAGCAGGAGTATATATATGTGATAGTACAAGCAAGGTCAAGAAGTGAGCAAGTGAGGCAAGACAGGCACAAGACCCAGCTGAGTGCAGAAGCGCTGATGATCACAAGGCGCAAGTGCCTTGGTGAAAACATCAGCAGTGTTGGCCTCAGAGGCCACGTACGCAAGCCGCAACTGTCCACGCTGCTGTAGCTCACGAGCAAGAAAGTAACGGAGAGCAATGTGCTTTGTCCTGTGCTCCAGTCGCTGCTCTTGACACAAGGCCAGCATGGCCTTGTTGTCTACGTACAGGACTGTGCGGAGATAACTGCAGCAACGGGAGCTAGGCTACGGCTAGGCACGTGTGCTCGTGTGATCTCTGCGTTCTCTGTTCCTTAGTCGTTTTCCTTGTGCACACACTACTTGCTAGTTCACGGGGAAAATTGGCAAGAGTTTCACTAGGAAAAGTTCAGAACAATGGTACAATGAAGTTGGCAATGCAAGACTACATCAGGGCTAGCATTCAGGTCGGCCAACTGCCAGCGCAGCTTGGTCGACCGCGTTCCAGCACGGCTTGGTCGACCGAACTCCAGCAAGGCAAGGTCGACGGCGTGCCAGCGTTGCTCACGCAGGACAGCAGTGCACCCGCTTCGCAGGTGTGCGTAGCCGATTGGCGTGCAGAGTCCCGTCACCTGCACAGCGCACACTCCACGTCAACCTTGAGCTGACGACTGCCTCTGGCCCGCCACGACGACCTCGGGATACCACCACTGAGGTCGTGCTCGCCAACTTCGCCTGGGCGACCGTCGCACTCCTTCGCAGCACTTCGTCACCCAGGTAACCTGGTCGACCAGGCTACCACGTCGACCAGCAGCTCCCGTACGTGCCCGTCGACCTCCCAAGTCGACGACCACCTCCACGTCGACCTCACTAGGTCGACGACACCATCGGTCGACCTCCTCCAGGTCGACATCCCCTCTGGTCGACCAGCTCCACGTCGACCAGCACAGTCGTCGGCCGACCACCCACGTCGGCCACCCGAAGCTGGCGTCACAAAGTTGACGCCCAGCTACTCGACACCCAACTGCTCAGCGTCCTGAGTCGAGGTCGACGTCGGCCCCTCCTTCGTCGACCACCAGGTCCAGTCGACCACTAACAGGTCGACTAGCAGTCCGTTAGCCGATTGCCGAAGTCGGCTTCAACGTCCTCTTCAGGTCGACTCCCAAGTCGACCTCCCTGAAGTCGGCGCCACCCTGAAGTCGGCGCCCGTGCAGTGGTCCCCCGTGCAGGTCGACCTCCTCGTCGACCAGCTCACCCACTGCTGCAGGTCGGCTGCTCCCCTCACACCCGACCACGAAGTCGGCTCCGCCCAAGCGAGGACGGGGCCAATACCCAACTCCCGTTGACACTCCCCTGCCGCGTTCACGCTTGGCCCCCCCAAGTCCACTCGGCAGTACTCCTCGGAGAATAGCTCGTCGACGTGCACCCAACACATAGCACGTCGTCCACCGCACCAGCCATGCAAAAGGGCATGGCACCTACTGCTGCACGTCATTGTCGCCGTCGCCCACATTGTCCAAGCGCACTTGGCCGATTGCAACGGAGCACCGGTTGAAGGCCGGATAGTGCAGCGCCTTCGTCAGGAAGTCGGCCGGCTGTTCAGCGGTCGGGATGTACTGCAGCGAGAACTTCCCGCGCCTCACCATGTGCTGTAGCCAGGCCTGCCGCCGTTCCATGTGCTTGAGGTTGCCCGTTAACCCCATGCCCTCGGCGACCGTGATGGCCGACTTGTTGTCCACGCGCAGGACAGTCGGCTTCCCGGCGTCCAGTTGCCGGAACTCGGCGAGGAGGAAGCGAAGGCGACGTTCCTCCTTGCCAGCTTCAGTGGCCGCCACGTACTCCGACTCGGTCGACGACAGCGTCGCGCACTTGATGCGCTGGCTCGACCAGGAGACTGCAGCCCCTCCGTAGACGAACACGTAGCCGCTCGTGCTCATCCTGTTCTGCTTGTCACCGGCGTCGTCGGCGTCCACGTAGCCGACCAGCTCCAGCGACTGAGGTCCACCGCCGAACTCTAGGGCGGTGTCACGTGTGTTGGCGAGGTAGGCGAGGCAGCGGTCGACCTCGCGCCAGTGCTGGTCGCTCCTCACCGTGAGGCCGCTCCCCAGCTTGCTACAGGCGAAGGCGACGTCCGGCCTCGTCGTCGTCGCCGCGAACTGCAGCGAGCCGACCTTCTGCCGGTACTCCTCCTCCTGCCGTTCCTGCGCCTCCTCGTCATCGAAGGTGAGCTCGGCATAGGCACCGA